GCAGGAATAAGACAAGGGACTCACAAGAGAGTTTGGGGGTAGAGGGATACCTTGTAGTGTGCTGAGCTGTTAAGTTGGCTTAGCTGATAGGTGTAAGTTCACACCGAGGTCTGGTGCGGTGCTACCAGCTGTCTGCAGAGATCTGAGCCCGTCTCTGGTGGAGCGTCCTCGGAAGGAGGAGGGACGCCGTCACGTTAGGGCTGGTGTAGCTGAGGGAGGACCTAGGTGTGCAACGCTGTCAGGTCTGCAGGTTGGGCAAGAACCACCGTCGCTGTGTGGTGCCAGCTGGGATCATGTAAGGATGCATTTCGTCTGACTCATGCTGGGACACGACTCTGGTTTAGGTATTAACTCGTTTGTCGGCATTCAGTGCCAGGGATCGATGGTGTGCCGCCCGAGCCCGGGCTTCCCGGCACTGCGGCCGCACGGAAGCGTGTTCTTGGTTGGATGAGCTATGTGAGTGCTTAAACGTTTTGACTCTTTATCTCCCTTCAGGATGAGGACCTAAACTATCGGAAGCACACTGACAACTTTGGGAAGGTAATGTGAGTTCTGGTTGTGGACGTCTGGTTGTTGTCCTGTCCGAGAAGGATTCCACATGTGCTTTCTGGCCTGTGTTGCAGGCTCGTTTTTTGCCCCACATTCAGTAGTAACCTCAGTAAAGGTCTGCTGCCCCCGTGAAGGAGCTGCTTTAGTCAGTGAGACGGGCAGGCGCGGCCGCACGTGGCCGGCGAGCGGGCTGTGCTTCAGCGGTGCCACGCAGCTGCTGTGCCCATCGAGCCTTTGCTGGTTTTCTGGCTTGCTTGTAAATTTGTCGCTGCTTCCTTTGGGACCCAAGTGCCTGCGGCTCCCACCTAGGGACTTTTAGTGCTCCCATGCTCCTTTTAGTGCTCACGTCCTGAAAGGTGTTGCATTAGGTCTGGGAAGAATTTGCGTAGCAGACACGTAGCTCGCACGCTGTGCTGCAGAATTCACACGCCTGGTCTTGGAGCAGCAGAGCAGTCCTCTGGGGTTCTCTGCCGTCGTACCCAGCTTGCATCTTGGGCTACCTCTAAAGAGTTGTCAGTCCCTTTTTTCTTTTTTCCCTGGATGCTGGATTGTCCCTGATTAACAAGCACTGGATCTACAGCTTGAGTAAGTCTTTTTTTACTCGCAGGGAGTTTGCTGCCCAGGCCAAATCACCCTCTTTGTTCCCCACCATGGTGGGTTTTTTGAGCAGGCTTTACGGGGCCAGTTGCTCCAGCATGTCTGTTTCCTGCTGCTTGGATCTGGGAAGAATATCTGGGCACCAGGTACCCTGCATGGCCCTGCCAGCTGAGCCCCGTTCCTGCACGCTGCCGTGGGTATGGCTCGCGCCAGTCTCGGCTCCGTTGTCTTTGCTCTTTCACGGCTTGTGGAGCAGCCAGCTGCAGGGCAGCGAAGCAGCTGCCGGAGTGGGGGACTCGGTGGCCGTATCCACAACTGCCACACGGGTGGGGATAAAGCTCCGTCTTCGGTTTCACCAGCTCTGGGGTCTGGCCCTTGCCGGAGCTCTGGGTGGTCCCCTGCCAGCTTGGCACGCCGTCGGCCAGTGAACGCGTAGGCTGCCTTAAGGCTGGAGAAGAGCGTAGGTTGGTTGTGTTGTCTCCCTTCGTACGCCTTGCCTCTGCTGGAAACCCAAGACTGCCCTGTTGCCTTCCTTCTTCCTGAGCTTTCTTCTCGGCATCTCCTTAGCTGGCTGTTGAGGGGACGATGTAGCCTGTGTTTGACAGCAAAAAGGGCTTTTGTGAGATTGCACAAGCATTTGGTGCCAGGAACGTAGAAAGTCCAAGCTGCTACGAGTTGCGATACGTGCGAGCAAACGGCCTGCAGCTGCGTTCTGTGGGGTCAGCCCCCTCCTGCAGCCTGAAAAGGAAACGTGTGGTGTGTGTTTTCCCAGGGGCCAAAAGGCCACAGTCCCTGGACTGGTGTCTCACAGTTCCTACAGACGTCTCAGAAGATCATCCAGTTTGCATCAGGGAAGGAACCACAGCCGGAAGATACTATCATCTACGTGGCCGGAGCCTTCGATCTGTTCCGTATCCTTGACTCCGTTTTGTCAAGAAAGCAGTGTTGGTCTTTTTGTTTGATGTTTTCATGTTTTGAGGCACCAGATTAGGAGATTTGCCTTGTTTTTTTATTTTTTTTTCTTCTTTTTTTTTTTTTTCTCTGGTTGTGCATGTAAGGGAGGAGGCAGGAGTTCTTACTGGCAGTTTCTTAGTCATGCAGCACTGAGAAAGCAGCTCTAGATCCTCTCTAGAGAGATTTGTGGCTGTTGGAGGATTTCAGGAAGACAGCTGGATACTTTCCATGCTCGAGTGATCACACTCGAGTCCCTCTGCAGCACTGGCTGTCATAGACCAAGTGACTCAACAGGGCGTCTGGAGCAGACACTTCATCCCTGGACAGTCCTTGAGGCCCTGTGCCAGAGCACTGAAACAGGTAGAAATTCTGGGCAGAGGCAAAGTTCAGTCCATGCAAGGTGGAGCTGAAACGATGTCTGGATTTTGCCCAGAACCTTTGGAGCCTGGGGAGGAAGGAGGCAACTGTTCTTAGGACACAGGCGATGAGTAATGCAAAAATAAAATCCCTGGGATTTCTGTCTCCCACTGTGTTTTTTCAGTGCATCTGTTTCTGTCCACCTTTCCCTATTTTCCATGTTAGCTTCAGTTCCTTAAACAGGTCTGCAGACATTGGGCATGTAGATTTCCTGGAGAAGGTTCACCAGCTGGCAGAGAAACCCTACATCATTGCTGGGCTGCACTTTGATCAGGTCTGTATATAATGTTGTCCAAAGATGGAGCAGCTTGGCACCTGTTCTTTCCAAAACAAGCAGTCTGTGCTCTGGAAGACAGGAAAGGGATGTATTGGCCAATGCAAGATTTTCATGTTGGGAGAAAGTGTGAGGGAAGGGGGTTGCTTCGTCTCTTCTGATTGCGCGTGGTGCTTTGCCTTAGGAAGTGAATCGCTACAAAGGGAAGAACTATCCCATCATGAACATCCATGAGAGAACGCTCAGTGTCTTGGCCTGTAGGGTAAGTGCCCGTAGGGTGGGTGCCTTTGCGATGTTGCAGAAGCTGCGTGGAGCTGGGTGGTGTTCACCTGTAGCCAACAATCTGTCACAAGTTCTTTGGTGTGCACTGAGAAGGCAAAGACGAGACTGCTGGCTGTAGGCTGCTGGAGGTGGTGGTGAGCTCTCAGGAGTCGCCACGAGGCTCCTCTCATCCTGGCTCGCCTGAGCTGTGGACCCCGTCCAGCTCTGTTCCACCGGCAGTGAAAAGGCAGGATGTGCCGCTCTGCTCCACAGCTGTGTTCTTGTAGAAAACTCTGCTCCCTGCAGCAGGGGAGAAAATTCCTGGGAAAGAAGTGTGGGGAGGCCCTGATATGTGTGCCCTGAGCGGTTAACTTCAGAATTTGCTGTATACACACTACCAGAAAGTGTATTCTTTAGTAGAACAAAACGATGCTGTGTGACAAGCAGTGGCTGCTAAACCCACTTTCCTGTTCCCTCATCGGAGTTCGTAACTCTAACCAGACAACCTGCTCACGTCTATTTAGGAAGCAGCCTGGCCTCTGTCTTGGCTTTTTTGGTTGGGTTTGGTTGTGTTTTTTTCCAAATCTGGACTCTTCACCTGGTTTCTTTTCTAGTATGTCTCGGAAGTGGTGATTGGAGCCCCCTACGCTGTCACTGCTGATCTGCTGGATCACTTCAGGGTGAGGGTCTTTGCGTATAGGTGTACGTGAACATGTTGGGGTGTGATGTGCTTAGGGAGCTGAAGGGGTGCAGGAAAACACACGGGTGTAGAAGAAAGATGGTCCTGCTCAGCAGGATTACAGGGAACTGCAGATGCACTGCCAGACCTGGCATGGGAGGGCTGGGTTTGCCATCCCCAGGCTGTGCTGCAGTGAGTGCGGTGGCAGGGAAAGTCCCGTTATCTTTGGGATCTTGTCAGCAACTTTGTCTCCTCCAGGTAGCTCTTGTGTGTCATGGGATGACTGAGGTGGTGCCAGACAAGGATGGTTCAGATCCGTATGAGGTAAGCTACCAGCTGCTGTTGTCCGTGCTTCTTTGTCAGCATTCGATGGATACAGCATGGCTTTCTTCATGGAGCTGAGAATTTGCATTGCAGAGGATGCTGCCCAAGCCAGTCCTTGGCAGGTGATGCTGTTTTTCACCCACCCCTGAGGGTCACTACTTGGAGCAGAGCCTGTAAATCATTCACAACAGCTCTGTTCTTTTAGTCACTGCTCCATTTTGCCTCTTTCTGACAGCCTTGTGGCAGAACGAGAAATGCTGTCATCTTTGCTCTGTGCCAGTCATGGGCAGTTCTGCTCAGCTCCCACCTACGTGGAGCTTTGCTTTCAGCAGTTACTTATTCTGCCTTCTGGGATCACCTTGTGTTGTGCCCGGCTGCGTGCCCACAGGACCTGCCCTGACTCCTGCTCAGCTTTCGCTGCTGAGCTGGAGCCCCCGAGGTCCTGCGTGTGTGCCGCAGGCGAGTCTGCTCTGTCCGCTCACAGGAACCGAAGAGACGCGGCATTTTCCAGCTGGTGGACAGTGGCAGCAATCTCACCACGGATTTAATTGTGCAAAGAATCATCAAGAACAGGTTGGCATTCTTCGTCTCTCTGTTCAGTCCAGCTTGTCTGAGGACTAATTAATGGGATCAGACAGGAAGAGAAGGGGTTATCTAAAGGCATGGAATCAGTGAACTGGTCCTTCATCTTCCGTAGCTTGGGCAGTCTGCTAAAATGTGGATGTACAGGAAAAGGAACAGCTAAACTCCACTATGCCAATGTGCTTTACAGTGCATTTTATTATTTTTCCTCTTCCTCTATTAATGATAAAATTTCCTTGCTGTATTTTGGGGATTTAGCATGTTATTTCTTTCAGAGTTTGCTCTTTTAGGCCTGAGCCCATTACCTTCGGTGACCTTGGCTCAGGTCAGTGGTAAATTTGATCTTGGTATTAATGGCACTAAGTGACCTCTCCCAGGACAGACCAAGCACGGAACAGCAGCATCTTCCGTGGAGGGAGAAATAAATAGTGTTTGGCCAGTGTGGGAGCCTAGGACTTGGAGTGATGGTGGTGGTCGTGGGGAGCTGTGGGAGCTGGCTCTGACAGAGGGGTCTGGGGGCTGCTGGTGAGGCGTCTGAAGTATTCTCAGAACAATGCGGCGTAGAAGGCCGTGCTCCCTTGCTCCAGGAGCTTTTAGTCTGCTAGAGATGGACGGACGAGAACCTCACAGCATTTTGTGGTCGATGCAGGCTGGAGTTTGAAGCTAGGAACCAGAAGAAGGAGGCCAAAGAGCTGGCTGTGCTGGAGGCCATGAAGAGACTGGAAGAGGAGAAGCACTAGGGCAGCGGAGCTGATGTGTGGGGCAGCGGAGCCGATGCGTGGGCTGCGGAGCACCGCAGCCTCACCCCTCCTCAGGAGGGACCAGCTCTTCGAGAGGGACCCCCAACGGGGACACCGCTGCTGGCGTGCACAGGATGTGCTGTCCTACCCTCTTCCGTCCTAGCGCCTACTGCACTAATTATGCAGACGTAACGAGTCGGGATCCTGCTGCCTAGTTTCTTCTCCATTAATCAGCCCCGGTCCCCTTTCCCAGAAGCAGATTTTACAAAAGAAAAAAAAAAAACTGGTTTTAATTATAACTAATGTTTTAACATGTTGATGTGCTTTCACCTTCTGCCGTTTCTGGCTTTTAGTAGGAGGGAAACGGAGCGGCCACCCAGGGCCCTCTGCCGCTCTGGGTTCAGCTGTCCTGACCGGAGTCTGGTCCGGAGCAGCCCTTCGGCAGGGGGGGCGGCCGGACAGACGCGAGA